GTTTTAGTTCAGCTAGACATTTTTTAAATATTGTGTACATTGATAAATATTCACTCTGAATTTGCATAAGCCTATTCTAATAGATGAACTGCTAATTCAAGAAAATTGAAATTTATTCACAAGGAAACTAATGCCGTTTATTTGATAGTTAAAAATGTTCAGTTCGCCAACAGTAACTTGTCAACTTCTCAAGATATAATTATAACTTTGATTTTCTCAAATAAATGCTTTTGATTTAGGAATCTTACCAGATGAGACTAAATGCAACAGTTAGTTGCATGCTGTTAATTATAACGAATTTCATTTATAATGTTCGCTGTCAGCATATTTGCGATTGAGTAGAATATGATATTTACACAACAAGCAGTGGTGAGCGAAGTTTAATTTTTTTATTTATTTAGTTTGAGTTCTAGGATTGATATTTTTGAAAAAAATCAAAGGCGATCAGGGTCGATTCACAGAAAGTCCTTATATATCTAGAAAAACCACAGGGTAAAATATAGCGCATGCCTTGTTTAGATACAGATCATAATTACTTTGATTTAGCATGAACTAATTGCCATATGGAGAATAATAGTTTGTTGAATGGGCTAACGACTCAAGGTTATTTAAAGTCTGGCAACTAAGGCGAACGAAATTTAAAATGCTCACTTCTTCAATAATAATAATAATAATATTTAAAAATAATCAGAGTTACGACTCAGAAATTTTTTTCTATGAAAATTCTGAAGGTTTTGAAACAGTATATATGACTAAATGTGAAAGCTGGTTTTGCGCTGTTAATTGCAAACGGATTATATTTAAAAATGCTATCCAATAGCGTTATTATTTTTTTCCCAATAAAATGTTCTGTTTTTACAAAAAGCAGTGGTAGATGCAACTTTTATTTCTAATATAACCGTTTGACTTTTATGAATTAATTTATTATATTTTTTTACAAGATCAAAGCCCATGCAGTAGAGAAAGTTTTGCCTCTTATGATTACTATACCACTGCACTGAAAAAATACATTTTGAAATTACATTTACTTCACTATGCAGCTAGTTTTTTTTTAATTTTTGCGTAGATACCAAATCTAAAACTGGTTTGGTTGGATGGGTAAATTTATCCTAATCATTGCGACTGAATTCAGACATTTTTGGTTAGACATCTGTAAACGGGCATTATCTCAAAATATTTATTTATTTCAAATGGCAGGCGTTTTGACAGCTATCATTAGCCCTTTTGTTGACTTCGGGCTTCGCAGAGGGAAGGTTCATCAAAGCAGCAGAAAGTCGAGAAAGGGGAGCAGAAGAGCGATTCACAGATGTAAAAGAGGCAGACAGACACAAAGGCAAAGGTAAGATGAGTACTATGGAAGTGGTCGAATATGGCACACAGTGGGGCCATGGTATTTAGAGGTCAGAAGTCAACTCCCGGTTAATAAACTTTTTTGCCGTATGAGTATACGTTGCCCAGGGTGCACCACGTGGAGGTAAGTCTATCGCACACCCCTTATCTCAAAATATAATATTTGAAGAAAAAATAAGAGTTGTGGTTGGAATATTTATCTATAATGAAAAATAAATTAAATTTTAAAGATTAGAACGCTAGTAAGTGATGAACGGTATCCATGCAATTGTGATCATAAGAATATCTTATTTTGAATTTAATCTCACAAATTTTTACTGTACGATTCTAAATTACGGAGTGGTGTCTATCAAATCTGACTGCTGCTTATGTCTTACAAATTAAAATTAGTAGATAATATCAGAAGATTAAATGTTCTTCGTTATTATGAATCTTTTTTTAAGTTTTTTTGCTTTCAGAATCTGATCAAAATAAAGCAGCATTTTATTGCCAATTAGTTACGAATATAGGCTTTTCAAATATCACTTACGTTATTAGAAGATGGCTTTAACTTTTATACTAAAGAATAAACGATCTGATAAGGGAAAACAAATTTTGTTTAAAGTATCGTTTTCTTTCAGTTGGTATTTCGTTAATTTTGTTATCTTTAGAACAAATTTTGTTTTAACGTAACAAAGCTGAACTTGCAACATATGTTTAATAAATGATGAAATTGATTTGATATTTGAATGGGTTTGTGTAATTGTAAGCATGTTAACTTCTTAAATAATTTGAAATAAGTAATTTTCTAAACTTCAATGTAGGCTGCGCCATAAAATCGATATTTCTTTGTAAGTTTTTACATTGAAAAGTATATGATTTTGTTATCAGAAGTCACTGTTCTCTATAAGATATTTTATTCAGTACTTCTGCAAATGTTCCTTTGGAGTATTAATTTTAGTGTTAATACATTTAATGTTTCCTGACAAGTATGATGTTCAACCTCCATGTACCAACTTCTTAGTTTTGCCTTTTACATCGTTTATTCCAACTATTGGATTGTGATTGAGTAACAAAAAAACCTAATCTCAAAAATAATCAACGATATTTTGTCGTCATTTATTTACATATTTTCTTTTAAATTCAAATTTATATTTGCCATAAATGCTCAATCTCATTTGCACCCAACTCAAGAGCACCCAACTTTACTGACTTTAACGTTTTTCTATACAAGTGATAGTGTAGGACTGATTTTGTGAAAGAATATATCCTGGTTGACATAAGTCTTTGACAAGTGTACTCAAAAAATGATAAAATAAAGAGAATTAGCTTTTTTTTCTTTAAAATGGTACACCTCGTGAGTTTTGTGGGAGTTTTTCAAGAAGGAAACAAAGCTAAAATCTTATATGAGTACACAAAAATGTTATAATTTCTTGCAGATTGACGGTATCTTAAATTGTAACTTTTCCACCATCTCCTTCCATTAAGCAATTAAGATAAGCTAAAAGATTAATGGAAATATTTCCTTATTTAATTATTTGGCGATGTCTCGAACACTCTGCCCGACTCTCAGCTACATTGAAAAATGGAATATTTTCTATATTCGTAAAAAATCCCTCAAAATATTTGAGTTCATTATAAGTAATTAAATAATAAACCAATTTATCAAAAATTACGATTTTGAATATGATGACGAACAGTTTGTTTATTGCTTGGCTTTATGATTTAACATGAAAATTCGTAATGATTAAAATTCAATTATTGATACATGAAAAATTGTCCTTTCCAGTGTGAAGGATAACTTTTCTAGTTGCCACCGCCTGAAAAATATCAGGCGTAAAGTTGACCACCTCCTCCATAGGGACCCTGTTGGATCTGCAATCGACCGTGTGTACCAGTTTTAGGGTCATAATAATATCCGTAAACTGGCTCTCCATCACCATGTTCACCGACATTTTGGGGACCAAATGGTTTGTGACCATCGGAGTTACTGTCGTAAGTAGATCCTACCCAAGCTGCATTTGTTTGGTCAATAACATCAGTAAGAAGGAAAATGGCAATAAAAACGCAGTTGCAAAGCGCCTTCATTTTAATATACAGTAGATTCAAAAGTTTAACTATCTACTTTAACTTTGAAAGCCGAATATATACCTACTCTGATGGCACAAACTGGTTTCTGAATGCCTTCTCAATGGCTGATTCAAAAGAAAAAAAAACATAAACGAATGATTAAAATGCAAATTCAGCTTCATGATGATAATAAAATTAACCCTAAAATTTCAAAAAATACAGCTATAATTTTTGTAAAAATAATAAAACGACCTCCAAAATCAAGAAGTGCTGCATAGTCACAATCTTTTGCAAATACTATTATAATGAACTGAGTTTGAGAAGAATACATTAATTAATATAAAATTGGGTAATTTGAGCATATGCTTGCATCAGTGGCAAAGAATATAACCAATTTAAAGAAACTTGAAGCAAGAGTTGGTATCGACTATAAATACTAATTCCTAGCACAGAATGACATGAACTAATGCGCTCCTTAAATGAAAATATATCCAAAATTTAACTCGAACAAATTAAGACCCTTTTGACAATCAATAGTTTTGCTGTTTATTTTAATTTAACAATTGCCTTATTGCATGTCGTGATTATGACTATGCAGCACTATGATATAAGTAAAATGTTGTCCTTGGGCTACTAAGCTAAATGCAAAATTAGGTCATCATTTATTTTTATTGCATCCAGCCAATTTATGCACATCTCTTAATGCAATAAAATGTAGGACCTAAAATCTTGATCAAACTCATGGGTCCTAAAAGATAGCTTCTTTGAAAAGTGAATATGACACCTCAATACAAATGCATCAAATAGTTGGGCAATATAATGTCATTACTGAGTTGGGTTTAATCAAAAATTTTCCCGAAATGGACAAAAAATGATGAAAAATTATGATGTATTGCTCAACATTAGTATTTTATTTATCGTTCGTTTTGATTGGCCCTTTGAAAACTTTATTTCCACGCAGCATTGCATCCATTGGGCTATTTTATCAAACATTGCCTGATGAAATTAAAGTTTCAATAATTAAAAATTAGTAAAAGGGTGTTTAATAATTGTAGCACAATAGATTCACTTGGTAATGAGCAGTTTAAAAACAATTTAGCTTATCATGAATACATTCGAAATAATAACGTTCTTCAATTATATCGACAAGAGAATTTTCGAACTCTAGTAAAAATCTGCAAGTTGATTGGATACTCTCTCAGTCGATTGATGAGTTTAAATCAATTTTACATTTCGGAAGTCTGTTTGGTAAATAATGATTTGCCTAAAGATGGATTTACATCATTAAAACGCCAAGATAAAATTGATTGGCTAGAATATTATAAGTATGACTGAAAATTCAATTTGTATCCCATCCATACTTTATTGATTGGAGAGTGACGAAATCAATACGTCTACATAGTTTATTTGCAGTTTAAATTGCAGTCAACTAATAAGTTGCAGCAAATGATCCATTATGCTCGTATACTGAAAATTTCAATTAGGTGTATTTGATTAAACCATATTTTATGCCAAGCTGACAGATTGAAGTTAGATATTAAACGCATAAAACGAGGTTTTTGAAAGACAGATATACACAATCACCTGTTTTGATTTAACGCGAGGCCTTTTGACAACAATTTATGATTCAATATAAAAGTTGAAAAGGTTTGTGCTTGGAAACAATTTTCCATAATGTAGCGAATTTTCAGGATAACTAATGTTTACATTTAATCTGAATTTGATGTTATTGAGCCAAAAACGTATTTGACCAAAATGCTAAATGCTCGTGAACGAAACAATATCCGACTTATTTCAAAGGGCAAAGAAGTTTACATATGGTTTCGACTCCGTGCGACAGTGTCAACCACAACTGAGGCTGTTTTCATGAGTAAAATAAGATAACAACAAGAAGTTATTTTAGGAAAATTGAAAAAAACGTTTTCGAAATGATCGATTTTACTAATTGTGAAAATGTCTGTTATATTAATTGCGAATGGCCAATTTATGAGAATTCGTCAAATCTGTTGAATTTCACAATCTCAAACTCCTGCAAATAGCTGGGGCATTTGTATATAACAATTTTGCTTTTTCTTTTCACTTAAACACTAATGACAGTTTTAAATAAAACAATTGGAAATGTTCAATTGAGTGAATAATCGCTGCATAATTTATGAAACATTTTCTTCAATAGATAATATTTTCTTTATTTTGACAAGCTTTACAGAGTACATCAAGCCTTCCATCATCTCAACTATAATTTATGCACAATTTCTTTTCGATTTTCCAAAACAAGTTTGGTTTCCGGTGTATTGAGTTTAATACAAAATCGTACATTTACAGACCTAATTGAGATGGGTTGATATGACACCAAGTAAGGAAAATTGCACTGCAGAGAGTTTCGAAAACACTGACTCTCGCTTTTAATTGGTCATCTGTACAGCAGATTTTGCAAACGTTTCCTGATTCACATAAGGTGCCTGAACAGCTTAAGGGTGCAGATTTTTTGCATGGAATACGTTTAATTAAACTCGATTAATGGACCAAATTGTTTTACTTTCATCTCCGGTCACTTTCAAATTGAAAGCAGTAAACGTCAAATAAATTTGTGAGTTATCTTTTCTATCTATATCTATCTATTCTATATCTCTTCATTCTATATATATATATATATATATATATATATATATATATATATCTCCATTATATATATATATATATATATATATATATATATATATATGTACAATATTCACTAAGTCAAAATATTTTACGATTAAATTTATTCTTACACCTCTGGTTAGTAGAAATGACCACAGGAATTTTTATTTGTTATAAGAATGTTAATATCAATTTTTCCTCTCTTAGAAATGCGAGTATGCTGATGATAATACATATCACACTTTGTCAATTTGTGTCTTCTCATATTAATCAACATCTCGGATTTTCAACTGTCACGTTTTCCCAATTGGCAAAAAATTATTGAAACTTTTCTTTAAACATCGGCTTCTTTATTAATAAATTCCAATAGATTGCAATAATATGTTCTTCTCGAGATTGCTTTAAAGACTATTTAATGTGAGAATTATCGTTCGACATATATTGAATTGAGGATTTTAACCTTGTCTAATACCTTAATAAAACTCATTTCGTTTGCACCATTATTATCACAAAATTTGTAACATAATGTCTTGTTAAAACACCATCTGATAGCATTGCTTCCTAATTCGTACAATATTATTCATCAACTAATATATCAGCGGCCATACTAGTGTTCAAGCATTATAATGATTTGATCAGGGGTGTTTTGATTTTAAGTTACTAGCATAAAGACGCTTCGATTTGGATGAAGTGATCACTTCGTTTGTCAAAACTCTATCGCATGCTATTTTTATTGTAAATGTGTCTAAATTGAAGAAATCATATTTTATTAGCACAATTTGTTTTGAGGAAGGTTTAAGATTTTATTAAGAAGAAAACACATATTTTGCCAATCTTCATGTGGTCTTATATATAACTTTTAAATTCAAACATTCATTCAAATTTTCTTCGCACAAATTAAAAGAATTACGTGCTGAAGAGCCAAGAAAAATGAATTCTATTCTCAGAATATCAAAAGAATTATCAATATTGACAGCTTTAAATATAATAACCATTTAACACAAGTGTTAATTTTTGCACTTTACTAACATGACAAATGTATTCAATGGCGTTTCCTCTTTACAGGATATAGAGTTGTCAATTTAGTCTAGAAATCGTTCCGCCATTTTAAATGGAAATATAGGTTGCCTGTGTAACCATTCCGATGTTGAAAGAGGGACCGATCGCCCAGAAATAGTTTCTGACATTATCTTCAATTCAGACAACCAAGTGGACAAATGTGAATTGAAATTTATGACTTTACATATTTTTCGACATAACCTGAGTGGCATTGCAAAGATTGTAAGTTTCTTTGCATGCTCGCACAAATAAAGGAGATTTTCTGCATGGGAAATTATATTTTACTTTCAAAATCTCATTTTTCGTCATTTTAAAAGATGGCCCTGCCTTAAGCTAAATGCAGCTAAAGTTAACATGTTTGGGGTTTTCAAAGTTACATTATTTGACTTAAACTTATAACATTGACAAAATGTAATAAATCTTTTTTTATTTACTCCTTCAATGTGCCCGAGGTTTTATGTGAATTTGCCATCACTACGTAAACTATAAGTTTATTAGTAAAAAATCGTGAAATAAATTATTTTAATTCATTGATTGTTTCATTATCTGTATTATTCTAGTAATAAAATAATGAAATTCCTTTTCTACTTAAAATCGTGTATAGCAGTTATTTATTCTCAAACGTAATGTTGTAAGCAAGTAATAAGTGAGTTTGTTTTTTTAAATGAGATGAATGACAATTATGACATTAGCACCAAAAAAATGTAACACTTAATAATGCGTTACACTCGCAGAGTGAATATAATAATCTTCCAGAATTTTATTGAATTTCTCAAAATAACCAGATGTTATTTACATTTTACTCATTCTAAATTTCTGTTTAATCAATAAGTGAATTGAAATTGTCAAAAATAAATGCATAAAACAAAATCATGTTTAAGCCACGAAGAGGTTCCTCTAAAAGCGTTGTGTTTAACTTCAACAAGCAAACACATTGCTGAAATTAGAAGTAAATGTATTTTTATTGACAAAACCCGTATGTTTCTCGTCAATCATCAAATTCAGAAAATGATTGAATAATTACTATATATGGATAAAATTTTAAGTTTTAACATATCATGGGATTTTTCAAATTTGAGCAATGTCCCTCTGTAATAATAAAATTAATGTCATAAACGATTTATAATAAAAGACTGTCAATTATTTTTATATAATTATTTTATTTCTCAAATTTATGTTTCCCATATTTAAACTTATTTCAACAGCCATCAATCAGTTGATTGTTTAATATCTAAATAAAAAATCCAATGTCTTCGTTTCTGTTCAAAGTCAAAGCATTTCATTTGCTGCCCAATTTATGGCTTGAGTGACGTATATTA